CTGAATGGGAAACTAGCAACTTTAAGTTACATGTAGCTAAATGCCCACTAGCCTTATAGGATTGTAGCTTATGATGACAACTTTGATATGTTTTGCAGGCTCTTCTCTTTAAGACCTTTAGAGTGGTATAGAGACAAATTTAAAATGAAAAGCTGTCCTAATTCTCTATTACAATTTTACAGTACAAGTAGTCCTCAACTTATAACCACAATTGAGACCAAAATTTATGCTGCTAAGTGAGCCATTTGTTAAAAGACTTTTGCCATATTTTACAACTTTTCTTGCCACTATTATTAAGTGTATCATTGCAGTTGTTGAGTTAGGTTGTTAAGTGAACCTGACTTCCCTATTGACTTTGCTTGTCAGAATGCTGCAAAAGGTGATCACATGACCCTGGGACACAACAACTGTCATAAATATGAACCAGTTGACCAAGCATCCTAATTTTGATCATTGATCACGTGGATACTGCAATGATCCTGTGTGAAAAAACAGCCATAAGTCACTTTTTTCTGTGTTGTTGTAACTTTGAACGGTCACTAAATGAAGTATTGTAAGTCGAGGACAACTTGTATTACAGTTTAGGATGACTGTCTTTATTTCAGCTCTGTCACGAAGTGACAATAATTTATCTATGTTCAATAGACAGATATGCCTAGTTTTTTTAGTACTCCAGTCTCCTATAGGTCCATCTCCTTCCTTTTCATCAGCATCATCCTCCACGCTACTTCGGAGAGATGTGACTAGTGCTTCTCAACCATGGCAGCATCAGTTCTTTCTGACTGGGGAATTCTGGGAGTTGAAGTCCTCACATCTTAAAGTTGCTGAGGTGGATTAGTGGAGACATTTTGTGGAGATAATTACTCACATAATATCTGATGCTTTCTAAAGCATCAGATTTATTCTGGCTCTTTCTAAATAAAGGTTTAAGTGTTCTTTTGGGGGGGGAACATACACACACACACACAAGATTTTTTAGATAAGTTTTTAATGCTTTCTTCAAAAGAATTTTATATTTGTGCTTCAAAAAACAGCGATTAAAGGTTGATTGAAAGCAGGAAAAAGCCAGCTTCTAGGAGAAATGAAAGGTTGATGATAGTTTGACAGAATAAAAATGGGAAAGGAATGAGAGATAACTACTGTATTTCAGTTTTTAAAAAAGGCTATTAAAGTAAACAGCCATTCTATCATTAAGTACAGAAGAATTTTGTTGGCATACCTTTTTTTAAAAGCAAATTAGCCTGACCTAAGCTACCTGTTTACTCTGTTAAACAATTAATACTTAACATTAAATATATTGCAGTATTAGATAAACAAATACACTGCTCAACATAGCAGAAAGGCATAAATTGAGTAAATAAAATATAAGAAAGTTGCTTTGTGGGGAAAATAGCAGGAGGAAGTAGTATTAGGTATGTTTGCCACCTTGAGTTACTTATAAAAACAATAAAGGGAGGAAAACAACCTTTTAAAAAGTGTTTTATATTTGTTCTCCATGCAATGATACTTGAAAGTATATTTATCTTCATACTATACGTATACACAGAACAAATCATGGTATGTTTGTCCAAATTAACTGTTCTACTAGGCTATCAAAAATATATTGATAATGTATGTAAACAAAACTTCCATGACCCATTTATTAATCTTAATCTGAAACTTGAATATCATGAATCAATATCATATTCATAATTTGCAAGCCAGGCAGTGATTTACTCTTATCTTATGTAGTATACAAGCAAGAAGTATAATTGTCAGCCATGCAAATTAATCCAGACAAGGAGCACATCCACTACCATCTCTATCTTTATTTTAAGGTTACATTAACATAATCTTGCAAGTCTGAAACTACATCACAGAGCCCTTAAAGTCCAAGAAACTAGGAAGAATCCTTTCTTAGATATTTGCTGTACTTCATTTGTTCTGAGGGCTCAGCTGTCTCTTGTCTTTCATAATCTGAGGCTGTTCTGACCCCCAAAGTCATTCTCACATCTTACAATAATGGTATTCCAGATTTTTTCAGTTTTATATATTGACGTGTATTCTAGCTGGCATTAAATTTGAGTGCAATTATTTGTAAACTCAGTAGGAATGAGCTACACATACTGGAATACATCAATGAACATACACATAGTGGAACCTACTCCTAGAAGGATAAATCTAAATATGTATAGAACATATGTATATGTATGTAACTAGTAGTAGTTACCATATGAAGAGTTACCAGTGGTGAAATTCAATTTTTTTTTACTACCGGTTCTGTGGGTGTGGCTTGGTGGGTGTGGCAGGGGAAGGATATTGCAAAATCTCCATTCCCACCCCACTCTGAGGCCAGCCAGAGGTGGTATTCACAAGTTCTCCTAACTACTCAAAATTTCCACTACCGGTTTTCCAGAACCTGTCAGAACCTTCTGAATTTCACCCCTGAGAGTTACCATACTTTGAAAATATCTTATTTAAGAGATTTGTGACTTCTTGTTTGTAGTTTTGGGCAACTTTCACAAGTGTTCATCTTTGCAATCTATTAGACTGGAAGCAGGAATAGTCAACTTATCAATCACTCATTCAGTAACAATTTAAAGTTGTTACCGTGCTGAAAAATAACTTTACAACCAAATTATAACATTCATAGCAGGTTTTATTCACATGATAATCATTATAGTCAGTACACATTGCAGTGTGCCTGACTTGCTTCCCCCCCCCCCCCCCCCCCACCTCAGACCTGCTGCGAGAGATCGGCTAATTTGCTATTGCCTGCCTGGGCTGGCTGGCTGGCTCCCCCCCCCCCCCCCCACTCCTGATCTGGCATATTGCTGTTGTTTCAGTGTTTCTTTCAAAGTGTCCCTGTAAATAATGTCCTAGGTGTCTAGTTTATAGGTATTATTATAAATATATATGATTATTTATATAACCCTATAATCTTCCAGGAAGCATGGCAATTAATATGTGGATAGTTCTTTGTGTGTATATATCCAATAAAAAATGTACTTCAATTTATTTTCTCTCTGAATTATTTTGATGTTTATACTTGTGTTTCTCTATTTAAAAGAGAAAACTTGGCATACATTTCATAATAAATACATAATACAATAAATGAATTACTCAGTTGTGATTTTGGTGAGGGTTATTTTATGTAATCTGTAGATTTGGGCAGATTTTACATATTACCTCAAATTATGTTTGGTCACAAGAAAATATTCATGATTTATACATAATGATATGTGATGAGCTGCCTTAGCCTAAGATAGAGATTGTCTGAGGTTTGGAGACCCACACATGAAGATACAATTGCTATGGAGCTAACAGGTAACAGTAGGCAAGATTGCAAGTCAAGATCCGTGCTTGCCTGAATAAGTCATCTTGAATCTAATTAGTAATAGAGTGGTCCAATTGTTCCAGGAGTTAAAGTCACTTAGTGAGTCAATCCAATAGTTCAGATTAAAGTAAATCACGTTAGTAAACAGAAGAACAAGCATCACAAACTAGGAATCCAAACAGTTGTTTCCAACAAAGACTAAAGGCAAAGCAGCTACATAAATATCTGCAGATACCTGGCTGTAATTTCTCATTTCTCACTGTTTGCCTAATAAGGAGCCTCATTGAGGAGCATTACTCTGCTTGCTGCTACATGCACCTCGTATTTTGGGGAAGGGGCATCGTCATTAAGAATTGTGCCTCATCATCTGACTGCTCCAGTTGAACAGGAGATGCCTAGGGCTGCTTAGTCTCAAATGAATCCTGGATTAATGATTTCTGAAGCTGCCAATCCACAGGTTCAGCTGGAGCAACATTGTCAAGATCAGATTCTGAATTGTGGCTCATAACAGAGATGGTTTGTAGGACTTAAACCCAGGATATCTTGCTGGTTTTGACATTTTGGCCTCCAAAATAACAGTCTTCAAAATAACACTGCAGAGCCAGGTTATTTGAGGGACTTTCCAATTACATTTCTCCAATCTACAAGATCCAGTATAGAAGGCATGTTGTAGGTTCTGTCATTTAGAGAGTTACATTTGGTGGACCCAAAGCAGGCCTTCTTGGCTGTGGCACCCATGTTGTTGACTGTCTTCTCCCCGAGGTTAACCTGCTACCATCACTCTTGACTTTCCGAAAGTCTCTCAAGACCTGGTTGGGCCATTAGGCCTAGGTACCCCCAGGGAACTGGCAAACTAGTAAGATGGCTTGGTTATTATTAAGCCCTCTTTGACAATTTTTTCCAGCTGCAATTTACATTTTTAAATGTTTTTTATCATCTTAATAATTATTATTTATGAATGTTGTTTTTTAAACTTTTTAGTACACTATAAGTGCCCAAAGTCACTTGTGAGGTGGGCATCTATATAAACTTGAAAAATAAATACAACTGGCTACATAAAGGAAAACAACATTTTATATAAAATGCTTTTATAAAAACAACAAACAACTGTACACCTTTATCTCTGAAAGAGCTTTGGCGGATTGAAGCTTTCTTATGTAAAGATTGTGTTACCTTTTTGCACAATTTATTTTAAGGGAATTTCTTTTTCTTTTCTTCTTTCTCTTTCTTTTGAGAAAATCTTTTTAAACAGCTGTTCTTTTAAGATTTCCCTAATGCAACTTCTGAAAATAAAGAATACATCCTTATAGCCTGCTTTGAACATATGAATGGATATTTCTGACTAAATATTTCTATGGAAAATAATATTTAAAATGAACTGTCACATTTCTAGTATGGTGATTTAATTTCAGTAGTTAAGTAATTATGGTCAGGTAAAGTAAATATTAAAATGACCTTCTTTTCTTTCAGGTTTCCAGGGTTGGTGTTTTAATAAGTATGATTCTCATGGCTAATTTATGGGGTTAAATTCTCACCATACATCAGTCCAGCCAAATAGCAATTAATGATAAGTGAAAAATTAAATATTCAATTTCTTCCACATTAAAACTAATACTGATTTATTTGAGAATATTATCATTAACTTCTTAAAGATAACGACATCTTTCTTGTGGTTTTTTTTTAGGACATTTGGGCTTCCAAGACAGTTTTGTCACATCAGGTGTTTTCAGTGTCACTGAGCTAGTAAGAGTCTCTCAAAGTAAGTACAATAATTATGCTACTTATTTCCTTATTGTTTTCTTCGATTACCCCACCTCATTTAACCATTATAAAAATGAAGCTATTAGTTCCATATTAAAAGATCCAATTTTACAAAAAAAAATACTTTGCAAGTTTTATCTTACTGGAACATGAAACCTGTTTCTAATGTGGCAGGTGTCTGAAAGATACAGTTGATTAGGCTGTTATAGTATTAACACCAGGTTTTTGCAGACCATTAGAAACTATTGCTCTGGGAAGAGTCCATAGAGGCAAATTTTGTCACATCATTGTACTATTTGTATTTGATGGCAAGAACAAGAATATCTTAGGACCTCTTGTGGCTCAAAACGAGATGTGGATTATTTGCTGTTTGTGGTACCATGCAGCATAGACACTTTTAGCATCTGTCATGTTCTGATCTCAGTCTGTTTTTTAAAAGTTAATTTAATTTAAAAAATTAATGGAAGCTCACATGCTTTATTGTAACATTCCAATATCCAGTGTCATTCCGACCTCATGGAAAGGCTACCACTTTAGCTTTATATATATAAAGTGTGTGTGTGTATATATATATGTATATATACACACACACATACATACATACAAATGTATATGTGTGTATATGTATGTGTGTGTATGTATGTATGTATGTATATATATATATACACACACCATGCGTGTGTGTGTGTAAGTAATGTATTTATGTGTGTGTGTATGTACATGTACATATACATATAAATTTATAAATTGGGTACTTTCATAACAAGGCTGCCTACCCAATAATCTAAACTATTTCTGGGGCAGTTTTTGTGTGTGTATCTGTGTGTGCATATGTATGTGTATGTATGCATATACATGTGTATGTATATGTGTTTATAAATAGGCTGTTTCATAAAGAGGCTGCTTACCCCCTAATCTAAATAATTTCAGTGGCAGTTGATTTGCTTTCAGAATTAAAACACTGATGAACTAGCTAAATAAATATCTTTACAGACAATAGCACAACTATTGCATGTCTGTTGTCTATGACCATGTACATTCAGCAACTACCTTGTACATTGTACACAGATTTTAGGAACCTTAAGGTACCCTGTTGTAAAATCACACCCTTTCTTTGTGAAATAGAAGTTCAAATTTTTCTGTACTTGTAAATATTACTTACATTTAGGGTTTCTGAGATCTAACCCGTACACAACTCAATCTCTTTTTTTAGCCATTCTTTTGACCTTTACAGAATGCTAATGTCATTAGCCTGAATGGCATGCTGCAGTATGATCATTACCAGTTTGTCAATAATCACTAACAACAGTGAATGAGGAGTACCTGTCACCACCCCATTCTATTGATCAACGGTTTCTTGGTTGTATTTTATTGTGACACAATCTAGAGTCCAAGGAGAAAAGGAAAATGCTTTTGCTTTGCTTGTTGACAACTGTGCCAGGCCTTGAAAACTCAAAATTTTACTCCAGTAATTATTGCTATATTCATCTTTTGTAGTTTGTTAATAGTAATTTTATTAAAAATAACAATTATAATGATAAAATTAATACCAATTAAAAATAAATTAAAATGTAAAGTGCAGAAAAGAAAAAATCAGAAATAAAAAATAAGAGCATAGCGAAGAAAAAGAAATGTATAAAGAAATAATGTCACCCTTCATCACAACCATTTTAATAACTTATCTTCTTTTCTTAAAATACAGCAAATGGTCTTTCCCCCCCATATCTTATCTCTTTATCTATGAACAAATCCTTACAATCTTATCAGTTTTCATCAGAAAAGTCCCTTAATGGTTATCAGAGATAACAACATACCTATATTAACCTTGATCAAATAAACCAACTTTATATTTTTTCCTTTTACTTCCATCTTGATTAGTCTCTTCAAATAATGTTGTAGAACTTTTCATTTTTTTCTCTGTCTCTTCTCAAAAACTCTTTAATAACTTTTAACAAACTTTATTTGTACATCCAATATATGAAAATTATTCAGGTAACTCTCTTAGTTTGATATTTGTATATTCCTTTTTATTATTAAGACATCGATCACTTTCTTTTGTATGTTCAATGCTTTAGTTGCTTCTAGTTCCCTCTAGTGTCCAATTTTTAAAGTCATGCATAAATATGCACATACACACATATATTTGTTTGAACATATAGATTTTACAACCCCTGGTATGCCCAAATATGGGAGAAGATCACTACTTCCATTCTCTGTCCTTCGGCTTGTCACAAGAGACCATCCAGACAGAAACCCAATATAGCTTGAAATAGATCTATTCTAGTCTCCCTTTATTTATTTATCAGCACAAATACAACATTATATATATATATATATATATATATATATATATATA